CCCCCCCCTCTGAGAGCCATGACGATGTTCAGTTTGCTCCCAGCATATGTCCACAGCGTGTACAGGGCAATACACTCCCAAATGCGTGCATAGATGCAGGCTAGGTGCATACAGTATCTGTCATGCACAAGAGGAGGGACGGGAAATAAATAAGTGAACTGAACAATGTTGTTATTCAGAGCTGGACAAGAAGAGCACAGTTGTGGCACATTTGCAGAAATGTTTTTATTAATGTGCACTGTCCCGTTCAAATAAACCAATAAATAAAATAGCTGTGTTTTTGAATCAATAATGGCTGAAATGAATATACACATGATGATCTGTGCCACACCGGCAACAACATCAAAAGCAATAATTCATATAAATGCTCCACTGAGAAGAGATATATTACAGAGCTCTGATAAACCAACACAATTAGATTTAGTATCAGGAGACAAAGGATACCTCGGCAGATTGTAGTATGACCTGGACTTTAATTGATAAGGGAAAGTTATTAGACAACTATCAATTTGTTAAACGTGTGAAAGCAAATAATATCCTATGGACAGAGGGAGAGAGGAGAGATAGCGAGAGAGAAAGAAGGTGGAAAGATGAGGACAGTGAGAGAATCAAACCTGTTCAAAGAATTCATCCATGAAGCCTTTGTCAATCCCCACAGCAACTTCATCCTCCTCCTCTGTCGTCTCCTTCCCCTGGACAAACACACATACAATAAGAATGATTACAAACAGCTGGAAGATCAATAAATGAACATGACAACTTCAATGTAAAATGTAAGATGTATTTGTTCGACTGCAACACTGGTCACGACTGCACCATGTAATGCATAATTCAAGGTTAAATAGAACAGTATTAATACTCGCCTCACAAGGAGCACTTAATCACACTTGTAATCAGAACCACAGGTCGAGTGATTAGCAAGTTATTATTGAATTAGTACCCGGGGGGCAGAGAAAACCTTTACTTTTACACACTCCAGCCTGCAACCTCTTACACCAGCATGTACAGATACATACTAGTGTTTCAGCTATCCCAAAGGAATATTTGGGATATACTCTTATTTGCTTTTTTGCAGATTATTAGATGAGAAAATCAATAACTATCTTTCTGTATGTAGCTACAGCTAAGAGATCGTTAACTTGGCTAAAGACGGGAAATATGGGCAAACAGCTTGCCTGGCGATGTCCAATGGTAGCATAATCCACCGACCAGCGCCTGTAAAGCTCACTAAATTTACACTTTATATCTCATTTGTGTATTCTGAACAAAACCAAAGTGTTGGATGAAACCACATGTTGTGGTTTTACTGAGAGTTATGTTCCAGGAAACAGTTTCTGCAAGAAAGTACATACTGTATATCCCCAAATGTCCAACTATTCAATGCACAATACTAATAAATACAAGCAAGAGGATATCTCAGTATCAAAGAAAAAGCACAAGAGTGGAATCTGCTTTCACTATTAAAATGGCTACAAGTCTTTGAATACAAGGAGTAAAAGTTAGTTTGCAGTGTTTTCTGCTGTGGCAAAATGGTGCATTTACATCAGCAAGGTCTGAAATTGTTCAGCTAATAACGCACTTATTGTAATTTGTAAAAGGTTAGAAACAAATATGTAGCTTTTCAATTTGTAACTCAAACTACAGCAAAATTAAAATGGATTTACAAAGTCAAAAAGATAGTTTCCCACCTAGGAAATGTAAACCACAACACTTCAACTGGTTCATCTGAAAAAGTTAGAATTTCTCAAACTTTCTAGCCAATCATTCATTCTGAAATATGTGCATTTCTAATCACATATCAACCATTACACGACATCAGCAGGGCTCTCCTGTGGCGTCATCTCATTCATCTAGCCTCTGTCAAACTAATTCACTTCCCCATTAGCGGCCTATGAGATCCATATCACCGCTGTGAAGGAGTGTAGTTTTCATCTTATTCTCATCTAAGAATGTATTTGTAACTACAGAATCTCATACAATTCATATAACAGGCTTTCCTCGTTGTGTATCAAAGATAGGATTTTATTTATTTCTCCTTTTCAACAACAGGCACCCTACGATCTCCAGCGATCCCCAAACCTCCCAATTCTAAATGTTCTTTAAAAGATTCTCACTAGCCCAAAAGCAAAAATCCCTTCAGGCTTGACATTAGGTCCACTTAATATTTTAAAATCGCAGAGTTCTATCAAGATATTGTGTCATACACAAGTGCAGGCAGTCGGCCGGGTTCGTCCGGACAAAGACACTAATGTGCATTAGCAGAGCAAGAAGCTGGAGAAACTTTTTTCAAATACAGTAAGTTGGGAGAGCGCTTTTCAGTCACAGGAATTGGCTGCCATGTATTTAACAATTGAATCCTTTAACTGTTTAATACGGCAATGATGATGAAATCTATATATCAGTGACATGCTAAACTACAGTCTACTGATATCTACGGCTGTGCTGATGACAAAGGCCACTAAGTCTGTCTGTGTGGTTCTGCTGAGGCTCTGTGGAGAGTTTGGATATTCTTTTTATTTTGTTGTTTCATGTATTGTCAAATCAACAAAAACAGAATCCACCGAGACCTAAATAATCACAAAGCAGCATTACAAAAAAAATTAAAAAAACTAAAAGAGCAAGGCCAGAATGATGACATTTCAAGTTATGAAAACAAGTAGTCTATTAGTGGACTAATAGGTCGTTTTGGTCTTAGTCGACTAAGATCTCTTCAGGCGATTAGTAATTTTTTATGCTTTTTCATGCTGAATTACTTCCTGAGCACATCTCCGGTAACACAAGATTTAAAGTTGTGCTTTTGTGCGATTCTTTGTAAAGAAACTCAGTTTTACAGCTCTGGCGATTAAATTAACTAATTGATTAGTTGCCAAAATTGTACATGTTAATCGACTTAGAATTTCTTTGGTCAAGGAGAGCCCTATTTATTTTCATCTATGCAACCATATTTGGAAACAAAGTGCTGTTGCTTTCCAGTCTTTGAGAATCTGTTTTTTAAGCATCCTATCATCAAAACGGTTTATGAGAGGAAAAAGATCCATTTCTTTTTGAACATCCAGAAATAACCAAGTCTCTGTGAGGAACTAAAGTTTTCTATATAAATTGGAGCAAATCAAAATATCTCACCAACACAAATCTAACTTACGACAATCCTAAATAAACTATACAATCGTTCCTCAATTGTGCATCACAAAAAGATAAAGTTTGTGTAAGATGCCTTTAAACTGTATTTGCATACAGTATATCTGGTGTTTACTGAGCAATTATAGATGGGGGCTTATGTACCTTTTCCTGTCATCTCAAACACAAATCCATTCTGTGGATAGTTAACATGTGATGTGTCAATATAGAGGTGGAGGCAGGGAAGACGTGTAGGGAAATGGGGAGAAAAACCAGTAGGAGAGGAACCTGTTTTTGAGAAGAAAAGTCTGAGGACTTCAGCGAGAGATAGCGAGGCAATTGGCACGAAACTACAAGTGAGAGGAATGCAGCGCCACTGTGATCACGCTAATATTATCTAAACCCACTCAAACTATATTTAATCCAACAAAAACTGATGCTCTCATGGTTTTACTCCTAACTCAACATTTTGAAGATACAATGATTCTGTCCAAAAAGAACTGCCTCAGGACTCCCAATCTGCGAGTTTCTCTCTATTGTGCTCAACTGTCATGACAACAGTCAGTATGGTGGGTGTCATATTCTTGGTGTGGTGCAAAACTCTTTATTAATAGAAAAAAGGTGTTGGTATGGCAATGAGGTGCATTTGGGGAGCTGCAGACCATCAGAAGCAGAGAGAAAAGAGGCGACAGCAGCAGGAGGCCGAGGAGGACGACGACAAGCAGGGAATCAGAATAAGATTCGAAAGCACGAGCAATGTGCTCCACCTCCACAGAGAGATACTGCATCTCCTGCAGCGAGGGACGAGCGTTGGTGTGTTTCTTTTCTTTGAGTGGTCGGGAGGGGAGAGGACTAAGCCTGTGTACCCCAAAGTTCCACCTCACACCCAGATCTGAAGCTCCTGCTGAGCCACATAGACGCTGGGAGAGGACTTCAGTGCTGCCACTCTTGACTCAGCCTACAGACTTTGACTTTGCCATCCACACACAGCAGATGCTCTGATCCAGACTTGCAAACATGCATGCACACAACAGCTGACACACTGATAATATAGAGTACAACAGACGGTTATCACACAGAGAGATCAGGGCCTATACAAGACGGTCCCCATTAGCCCATAATCCTTCAATTCACCCTGCCTCTGGGGCTCACACTCGTGTGAAACACCCCGGCAGGAGTAGCGGCCCGATTATGCCGTTTATTAGATTACAGAGTCGTTTTAGGCACCGTGCCAGCAGGGAGTCGCTCCATACAGACAAAAGGCAGTGCCTGGACATCCATTGTAAACAGGAGGAGCAGGAAATATAGTTCACCGGCGAGGGAGCGAGGGATAAAAAGACATCTCGTGTGCAGGCTGCAAAATCACAGCTGTCAGCACAGAGAAAAGAGTGGGAGAAACAGGGCACCACAGCAATTATTGAAAGCTGCGAAAGAGTAATTGTATGTAAGACGACATAGAGACACAGAGTGTATCGATGTGTAAGTAAGTATTCAGACCCTTTTCGCGGTTTTATCTCAGAGCAAGAGAGAGAAGAGCAGTGACAGACAGTTCAAGTGGAGATATAAACCTGTGTGGGCAGTACTTTATTGTCCTTTTGAGCAAAAAGCAGACCGGTTTCCTGTATCTTTGTATTACAGCCAATTCAAGCAGCTTCCTGCAGTCCCATTAGAAATGACTCATACAAATCTGTGTCAGCTGCACAGAGGAATACTGAGAGCATAACCAGATTTATTATCATAATACCGCAAGGTAGCATTCATTATGGATGTGTGTTCACTCCCACACACTTGAACATTTGATCTTTTATTCGTATCTCCTACAGTAGAGACGCACAATGAAAACTGAATCGTAGACTTTTTTGTGCTTCATTTGCAAAGCACACACGTTTATTGTTATACTGTATATAAGAATAATATATATATCAATGTCGGAAATACGACTCAGATTCTCTCTCTCTCTCTCTCTCTCTCTGAGAAACAAATAAGGCCTCACATCAACCACAGTATGTCATTTAAAATACTTACCCCCACATTTTCATTTATATCCAATGCATGCAACCATCATACAACTTGAATTTTCAGATAATGTCAATCAAGTCAAGGGAACTTTCCCATCTCTGCCACCCGTGAAAGTAGCATTAGCATAACCGTGATTCCAACCTTAAAGGGACAGTTCAACAAAATTACAACACACATTCTCATTTCTCACTTACCTCTAGCAGTATGTAGCCATTATCCAGAGTAATTGTTTCCGGAAAGACACGTCACGGTTTCATTTATTTTTTCAAAGTGTAATTCTCCTGTGCTTTGACCAGGACAAACACATTTCAACTAACCTCCACTAGTGGGATGACTTAGATATCACAAAACTATTAAAAAGTATGCAAGAACATTATTTTGTAATTTGGATGAACCAAGAATCAGGTTCACATTAGTAGCTACAGAATGCATTATAGTTAGCCCTTTTTTCTAAAACCAAGTCTTAATCTCAAACAGCTCTTTTACGAAGTAAAGACTGGTCTGCTTCCTCACTTAAAAATGTCCAAACACAATCCTCATCCTCACAAAACTAGAT